GAAGAGTGAAATATCCTTTGCCTTTCTGTTTGTTTAAACAAAGCAATAGGAATACAGTTCTGTACTAACCATCCCACAGACATGCTGAGATGGCTCACACTGAGCTGCTGGTACTGACCTGCATTAGAAAGGAAGGGCTGCACTGAAAGTTGGCCTTCATCTCACCGGATTTGTTTTTCTGGCCCAAACAGCACATATTTGTGTATTTGGACATAGCCATTGAGGAGCAGCCCATTGGGACACTTCTGTTTGAGGTAAGCGGCTGAGTAAAACAGCAAAAGCAAAGATTAAAGATATCAAACATTGGGTTTTCACTTCCTGAGGGAAAGGAGGCTGAAATCTGGACGGCTGATGTCAGTTATGAATTTCATATTTTTCCTCTTGTGCTCATTTTACAGCTCTTTTCTGATGTATGCCCCAAAACCTGTGAGAATTTCCGTGCTCTGTGCGAAGGAGGAGTGATGTCTGCCAGCAGTGGTCAAGAGCTCACTTATAAAAATTCCTGTTTTCATCGGTTTGTAAAACCTGTGTGGATCCAAGGAGGAGGTGCATTTCCAGATGTCCTGAGTAAATCTGGGTCACAGCAGAAGTGGGACGGGATAACCACCATGGGTTATAGTCCAAGCACATGTAACCAAACTAAAGCTAATGTCTTATTAAGAGCAGGATAAGATCTTAATACATATGAAAACTAGAAAGTATCTTCTCCTTTAGCCATCTCACTCTCTAAATGGAGGAAATGTATAGATAACTTGTTCTTTTTATTATTCAAGACTTCTTAAAAAGATCTTTCACTAAGTACTTAGAAAACTAAATGAGAATGTTAAAACACTAGGAATACCCACAGGAAAACATATTACTTGTTTTATTGAGAGATTAACTTATGGAGGCATTTAGTCAAGTCTCAGAGCCATGTCAGACATGTTGGTGAGCTGCTTGAGCAGCAGAGCCATGCCTGGAGTCAAGCACTGCGTACTGAGGAGAAAGGCACTGTGAAAATCTCATAACATAGGCTGTCTGACACCCTAAGGGAGGACAAGATTACAGAGCTGTATCAGAAGAGACTGCCTTCATTCCTCACTCCCCTTTGGTCAATCATCTGTCTTACCTACCTCTATTTCTTACCCACGTTTGCCCTGCTTACTCCAAGTGGGACTGCTCAAATCCATTTTTAGTTTATACTTTGAAGATGAACTTTAAAAGTCTAAGAATGTCTAAGCAGCTATCTATGGAGTCAACAAAGCAACCTAAAATTATTACCTTGCCCATCAGAAATCTTTTTCCATTTCTCTTTTACCAAATAATTTTTCTCAGGCAAGTTAGCAGTTTTAATCTGCCATAACATCATAGCTGCATTTCCCCCCTTCCTCGCTCTAATCCCACTCACTGCAATTGATGCTCTTCTCCCAGCCTGCCCCTTCCTGGGCTGATGCAGTAATCCATGAAAAGTTCTTCCAAAAACTCTGTTAAAATGTTGGTATTAAAAGAGTAATTTTGGCTTCCCTGGAAGATGGGCAAACCGTGTCTCCAAGCTCTGCTGGAGCCATTCAGATAACCCTGAGCTATGCCTGTGATCCACCTGACCTCTGATCATTACACCATGTCTACCCAACAGACATAACTGGGAAAGGAGATGGAGGAGAGTCAATTTATGGTCCCACATTTGAAGGTACGTTCTCTAAATTACCTCACTGCACAAATGTCACATTGCCACAAAAATCAAGCTGTTTATCCGATCTTACAGAATAACCTGAGGATTTCCATTTGTTTCCCTTGAGGAAATGGTTTGATTTTCAGCGAGATTTTGGCTTAAGAACTGACTTGCAGTCTTGGACCCTGCACTGGATGCTCAGCTCCACCAGTGCTTTTCCCTGCCAAAATCAGGGCAGAGGCTCACCTGCTGCCTGCCTGCTTCAAACTGCGAACACTCACACAGAAGTGGATTAGCTGCAGATCTCCAACCAGCTGATACCTTTTGCTTAAATATGTTTAAAGTAATGGAAGTGAGTTGGCTTTAACTCCAGATTTTCTGGATCTCAGGCAGCTTTTAAGGCTTGGGCACATCACACACATTGCCACAGTTGGTTCTGCAGCTCCAAATGTGAATTACTTCTGAATCCAACTGAATGTAGAATGCCTATAAAGCTGTGAAGGTCGGGAAATGACAGGTGTGAGCAAATTTAACAATAAATGTACACCCCTACTGATAGAAAGTAGTTAGATATAAAGAAAAAAGAACATTATTACATATAATATTTAAGAAAAATAACCCATGTAATTGACATAGACATTTGGGATACTCTGTTTGGATTAAATGCTACCCATAAAGACATTTTAGGTCAGCTAAAGCGCTTCTGAAACTGATTTATGTTCTCTTATGTAAAAGCTTTCTTACTGACAGTGTCACTACCAATGTTACATTTGAGCAGGCTGGGCAGCAGCCAGCACTGAGATCAGAAGTGCCAAGTGTAGCTGCAAACTTTATTTTCAAAGGCAGCGAAGAGCCCACTTTCACCTCGAGGCTATGGGACCAACCTAAAGCAGGCTGGAATTGAGTAGCCAGGCAGGTTTGAGCTCTGCTGCCCAGGGCTCTGCTTCTTCTCCTTTTTCTTTAAAAGCTACACACAGCTTTTCATCTCCTAGCAAAGTGTTCACTTGGGTATGCCTATTTTAAGGCTTAGATTGCTTTCCGAGTTCTTCCTGCCAAACTATTTACACAAAGGGCAGAGGACAAATATCTTTGATATCTGCAAGCAGTGACAGATGCCTCTGTCAGATGGTGAAACTTTTCTGCAAAACTGGGTGGCTGGCACGCCTCCATTCACTGCAATGCCTGCTGAAATTAATGGGATGCAGCTACATTTTACTGTGACGAGCTCAAAGTACTGAGGTAATTACAGAGAACCACTTGGACAGGAGAGCCGTGTCATTGCACAAAGCATTCTAATCCAAAATTAAACTGCTGAAGATATTTTGCAAACCACAAGTCAGCATTCAGGGAGTAACTATTCAGTTAACATTTAATTACCTTTTTTATGAATCAGCTTCGGAGAAAGGCACTCAAAAAGGGTAAAAATTATTTTAAAAAATGTTAAAATCTAAATATTTTAATTGGCTTCTTTGCTTGCTTGAGAACTGAATATTAGTGGGAAGACTTTTCAAGGAAGGACATTGGTTCATACCAGACTTTACTCACATGAGACTTTCCTTTGTGGAAAAAGGAAAAGGGCAAGTGGGAAAGAAAGACATGGGAAGTTATGGGAGCTGGAAGCAAAGAGGAACAGAGGAATCAGTACATATTCTGCCTTTTATCCCTGAACTCTTTTCCCAGATGAAAACTTTGCCATCCCTCACAAGGGAAGAGGTATCCTTGGGATGGCTAACAAGGGCTGCCACAGCAATGGCTCCCAGTTCTACATCACGCTCCAGCCAGTTCCCTACCTGGACAAAAAATGTGTGGCTTTTGGGTACGTACGCACAAGCTTGCATCTGCTGCAGCACAGAGGTTACCCTAGCTCTGCAGGACATGGCAACTGCAACGTGAATATCTCTGGCCAGGGAGAGGATGGATAAGTCACGTTTGATGTATCTAGTGACACCCTTTTTTTTCCATTTATTTGCCCTGGCCTGGCTTGATCAAGCTGGAAAACCCAATAGCAAAGTTAAGAGAGCTGCTGGGATCTCTCAAGGACAAAGTCAGCAAAGAGGTGCCTGCATAGCTTGGTGTCAGCTGGAGGTGTGTCCTAATGGGCTTGGAGCAAAGCCTCTAGTTCCTGCTCAGCCCTCAGTGGCCAAGATAAATTGTTTTAGTGAATGACTGTCTCAGTAAATTAATGCAGGGCTGGCTCTGTTGAGATTTTCAGCTTTTCATAAATGTAATGAGGATGATCATTGCTCTGTGCAGTTTGCTTCAGAAGGAGAAATCTGCAGTGCTGCTTTCATGTCACTGTTACAGATAGCATTTTGGAAGGACATGAAAAGCACAACTGCCTAAGCTAAAGAGAACAAGCCAAGTTGGTGGCTGGCTGGATAGATTACCAACCCATGGTGTTTACCTTGAGGTCCTGCCTGGACACCAGCTGTGTAATCTGGAAGATGCAGGATCCTTGAGCACAACTGACCTCCGTTACAAAGCTAATCTCTGCAGGACAAGCTCTTAATTAACAGATAGAAAAACTGGAAGACGTTTTCTCTTGTAGCCATCTCACTTTCAAAACAGAGGAAAAGTTCAGATAATTTGTGCTTTTAATTATCTAAGGCTTTTTCAAAAAATGTTGAAAACTAAAAATTGCAGAATGTTGGACTGTTTTCAAAGACTCAGGTTGGCACTGCAAAGGGAGGAAATGAAAGGTATTTCTCGGGGAAACACTTCCAATAACTTCTGATAACACAGTTTTTTACTTCTTTCTCCTCAAAATTAATGGCCATTTGTAGCTGGTACAAGGCTTCTTTCTTTAAATAAATGTAACTGCCATAACTCAGTATTTTCATATCCCCTAAAAAGCTAAATAGCAACTATTTAATCAAGAACCAATGGTGTTTTTTACCCCATTGTGCAGAATAAAGAGTAGAGCCCACTTGGTTTTGTTATGGTGGCTGCAGAGCTGGCTTCAGGGACAGGGGATACTGCTCAGGCAGCAAAGGTGGATCAAAGCTGCTATTCCTCCCTTCTGCAGGCAATTGATTGAGGGCACAGAGGTTCTCCAGCGACTGGAAACTGTACCGACGTATAATGAAAAGCCCAAAGTGACCTGCAAAGTTATGAAGTGTGGGACTTTCCAGCCATGATCACCAACTTTGCAGCAAGGTAGAGCACTGATTTCTGCTCAGCTTTTCACAGACCTCGATGGCTTTCGTGTAAGATAAAAGAAACACTTCTCGCAAATGTGAATGTGTTGGAATCGTTATTTTGACTTAGTTTAAAAAGTGTTCATAGGCTGTTAGAAGCACTTTAATATGAGTATAGAGAAAAAAATGTGAACATAAAGTGTAGAAAAAGACTTCTGCCAATCTACAGTTTCTGGATAATAGCTCAGTATGATTATATACTGACAGGCAGACACAGTACTGCTGGAACACACTCAGAGGGATAAAGCCAACCAATCTTGGCTAAATTCTGCCTCTACCACCAACCTCCACACAGCACAGTGTGCAGCTCAGAGCACCACTGCCCAGCACAGCTCTGACTTGAAGTGTAGCCTACATGCTGTAACTCAGATATATCAGAGGAAGGCAGAAAAAAATGTTTGCAGGACTGAGTATCTCTGAATGCCAGACATTTGACCCTGCAGTGAATGCTGTGAGCTAAAATGAGCACCTTTGAAATCAGGTTGAGCTACTTCAGGCAGAAATGAGAAATGTTAAAACAGGTGTAAGTTTCAAGTGATTATTTTTGGTTAAAGTCATTATTGTCACTAAACCAGAGTAAAATCTTGTTTATAAAGTTACTGCACAGAAGGAAATTTTAAGGTTACCTGTGGATGAAAATACGTAATACACAACTGATTGCTGGTGTTGATGATCTCATATATGCAAGATGGCTTTGGCGATCTGCGCAGAGCCTGGGTGCTGATGGTCTCAGCAGGGAATGGCAGAGAAGCACTAAAAGAAGAAAAAGAAAATGCAGCCTGGAGAGAGGCCACAAGGAAGTGCACAGGAAGCTCATTGGAAAGAGCAGCAATTCTGAGAGCTGTGTCAGGGCTGTGCAGACACGGTCAGCTTACTGATCTCCAGCCTGTATTTCCAGCATCACAAAGAGACTGTGCCAGGGGAAGCGACCTTTGCTCCTGCACTGAGCTCTCTGCGTGAGCTGCTCAAATCTGCAAAACAAGGCCATCCAAGTTGGGAGAGGTGGAATTAGCAAAGTATGAGGAGAGACCCAGTTTTGCCTGAGCTTAAGATGAGATTTCAGGAAAAGCAGCATTCTAATGCTTCTTTGCTAAATGGGGATGAATTTAACAAATCAATTAGCAAGTAGGTTAACTTAGTGTTTGAAGAGTCCACAGACCTACAGTGATCCCACATGCTTTGAGGGAGCATAATGAACATCTTCACTTTAGCAAGGGGATTCAGATTTTTCTTCAGTTATTGTGAGAAACAAAAACCTAAAATATACAGATATGTACTGCAGATATGTCTGCAGATGGCTAAGGAACTGTCAACACATTTTCTTCTTTTATTCTCTAAATAATTCTGAAACCTATACATAGACAACTGCAGAGGAACTAAGTTAACTGTAGGAAATTTTCAAATCAATTAAACTGTCTGGAAAATAATTATTTTTACTTCAAAGTCCTGTGCCAAAGGTGAAAATAAACAAAATAGGACAATATATTTCCTGACAAATTACTTTTCATGAGCAGTGGAGAAAATGCTGTGGAAGGATATGGCTTCAAAACTCAGTACTGGGATGCAGATTAACAGCTCCTATTTCTTGCAAGGACTTCAAATCATATGCACATGTCTGAAGGTGAGAGAAAAGTCATTTTTGTTCTTCTGCAGGTTAAAGAAGAAAATTCTAAAAGGACAATTCTTCAACTTCTTATTTGAAAATAAGTCATTCGTTATGTTTCTGTTTATTTGGCTTCTGCATTGAGACCTGTCTACAGCAAGCAGACCTCTTACTAAACTACATTCAAACTTTCAGTAAGCTGTATCCAGAGGGCACAGGATAAGTTCTCTCTGCTGCTGTCTGGCTTGCTCACAGCAGGTCTGCTCTGCAGCATGGCTGCACCACTGTGTCCCCAGTGTCCCCACAAGAGACTGAACCAGAGCACAGCATGTGCTTCAAGACCAAAGGACCTGACCTGACCAGCAGTCAGGGCACAACAACTTGTGCTCTGGAGACAGGCAGCGTTTGGGATCCCACAGGGTGGCAAAGGCCTGCTCACATCAGGCATCAGAAAGCTGATCCTGTGCCAAAGAACATCTATCTGACAAAAAAGTACAGTGGCTGAATGTACAACATAGTGGGTGGGGGACAACTGGTTGGAGTTACACCAGGTGGAAAACATTATCACAAAAGGAGGAGAACGCAACTAGGACACGTTTTGAATTTTAGTCATAATGATCCTGCAGTCCAGCAACAATTACATTGTTTGTATCTGTCAGGACAGGACGCTCTACCAGCAAAACTGTGGTGAAATCCTTCATCCAGTATTGAGGAGGTCACTTAAAAGAAAGAGTGTGTCCTTCAGCCCTGTTTCTCCAGTTGGTACAAGTTGGATACACTTGAGGAGGTCTAGGTGATGAACAGTAAAACAGTAAAGGAATAATCTTGTTCATAATGTTAACCACAAACCAAAAAGATGTTTGGTATCACATTTTCTTTTGTAACCTACATCTCTCATGGGATGCCTGGTGTTCTCTGAGAGCCTGCCCAGCACAGCAGGTGGGTCTCAGCTGCCCAGGAGAAGGGTTTTGTCCTTCTGCCCCATCTCACCTCTCCCCCATCTCACTTCTTATCTTGCACCCTTACGTAATGGTATGAAATATCCAAATAAGCTTTGGATGGCGTATTTTCCTTGTTAAAACATCAACCATGTCTTTACACTTCATGTACACTTGCCACACAGATGAAATGACACTTTGGAAATGAACACAAATGTTTGCAAATTGAACCAAATACATCTTCCTTTCAGTTAATCTGCTATTTTTACTTCCATTCATTGCCACCACCCCAAACTGTGGGACACTCCCCCTGGCACCTCTTCAGAAGCCCCATCATTACATCATGCTCAGCACTACTGATGCAGGGTGATCTGCTGACATTTCTGGGCATTTACTACATTTCAGATGTGCTTCCCTAAAACAGACATCTGCAGACCCTTAAGTTTTACCCATTTTTGCCAAGTACTTTACATTTATTTCCAGTAATGCAGTGGTTGCATCCTGACATTCAAAGCAGAGGTAAATGCTTTACTAACCACTAAGTATATAACAGTGCAATGAGAAATGAATACACTGATGAGTCTTGTATTTCAAATCCAACAACAACAACCCCAACTGCTGTGGTCCTGCTGACCGTATTCCTCAACAAAGTCCCGAGATGCTGACTGTAAGAAAAAACAGACAAACCACATTTATCACTCACTTGGATTCCTACCAGCCCCAGGATTACAGGACAGACATATTTTCATTCACTTCTGGAGACAAGCTGTAGCAGTAATTCTTGCCCTGACAGCAGTCTTCTATTTTTATTTATCCATTTTATTTTCTCCCTATTTTCCACATGTATACATACTGTTCTCTATCAATCACATTTAACATATGTCCTCTTTGTTTTCAATCTAAAAAGAACAGAAGTTTAGTGTGCTGTCCTCATGAAATGCAGGCTGCAGCCAGCATGACACTTCATGTTAAGCCTCACTAAAACAAAACACTGTACAAACTGCTGAAGATAGACTTAGTGCCATAACCTGCAAGAATTCCAAAAAGAGAAAATCTGTGCTCAAATAATGTCTGATGTCTGGTGAAATCACAACAGACAACCAAGTCAATGATGTCCAGCAGGATGCCATAGGATATCCTTTATCCCAGGACATGAGACCTTCTGTGGCATGTCTGGGATGGATGGGAGGCAATCACAGGAAGCTCCCACCTTCTAAGTTTGCAGCACGTGACAGTCTCTATTTATGCTGTTCTGTTTTACATGCTTCTAATTCAAAGTCATAGCAGAAACACTGTATTTTAATAATGGCTGTGTAAACCCTTTCTTGGCATTTAAAAGCCAGCAATTTTATTCATATTACAAAAGTAAATGGGCTAAGTCACACTGGCACTTCAAAAAAAAGCATGTGCAGGCTGAAAGGTCACTACCTGTGAGTGTGGTTTCTCTACCTTTGTCACTTTCCAGAGTTGAGTTCAAAAGCCACTGAAATCCACAGCCAGCAAGATCAGAGAATCCTTTGAATTGGAACAGATCTTTAAAGGGCCATCTAGTCCAACTCCCCTGCAATGAACAGAGACACCACAGATAGATCAGGTTGTCCAGAACCCTCTCCAGCCTGATCTTGAATGTCCCAGGGCGTGGGCTTCCATCACATATCTCAGCACCCTCTTTCAGCACCTCACTACTCTTATGGTAAAATCTTCTTCCTTATATCCAATTGAAATCTCCCTTCTTTTAGTTTGAAGCCACTTCCCCTTGTATTACCACCACAGACCCTGTTAAAGAGTCTGTCCCCTTCCTTCTTATAGCCCCACTGAAAGGCCTGTTTAAAGTCTCCCCAGAGCCTTCTCTTCTCCAGGCTGAACAGCCCCAGCTCTCAGCCTGTCCTCACAGGAGAGGTGTTCCATCCCTTGGATTGTTTTTGTGGCCCTCCTCTGGCTGTATTCCATCCTCAGGATGTATTCCATCAGGTCTGCATCTACCCTGTACTGAGGACTTCACATTTGGACACCCCAGGTCATCTCACCACAACTTCTGAGAGGTGCCTGCTTACATTCATTTTCTCTGCTGTTTTCTTTGCAGCCTTTCCCTGGAAGACTCATTTGCAGGAAGGCGATGCACGAGCCATCCCACACATCGCATAACAGCTTGGGGAGAAACATCTCCACCCAAATCATGAACTATCAGTAGTCCTCCAGAGCCTTCCAGAACTCACGACAGGTGGCTCATCTTAAGATTTCAATGTTGTTCTGGTCTCTTGGCAGCGTAACACCACCTGGCAAGAAAGGAGAATGGAAGATTAAGTTTGTAAGTTTAGTTGGCTGCTTATTCCTTGCTATTGTGCAACTCAGCTCATGCTTAAGAGAAACAGCAGAATTTTCCCGATTTAATGCATCTCATTCACCTCTCCTTTCACCCCGATGGTGTCACGCTAAAATGTGCTCTGGAGCTCTGGCTTGGCTCCCCTTTATTAGAAACAGCTCTGGATGTTTCCCTTGGTTTCCCAACATTCGCACTGCACAAGATGTTGAGGCAGATTAGCACTTTTATTTGCAGGCTCTACTGCTGACGATAAACGTTGATACAGCTTGCTTTAAGAAGAAAAAAAAAACAAGAAAAAGGCAAGAGAGGGGCGAAAGAGGGAAACTTTCCGTCAGCCCCTCATCGCCCCGAGGGAGGAGGGGATGCCCCTCCAGCCAATCAGCGTCCGCCGCTCAGCGGACCAGGGGGCGTGGCCATCGCAGGGGGCGGGAAGGCGCTGACGGGCAGCACGTGACGCGCGGGAAAAGCTCCCGCAGAGCAGCGGGGGGCGTATAGGAGGGCGGGGCGGGATGGACCGTGTCACCTCCCCGGCAGGGGGCGGGGCCGGCTCGCCGGGGTGCCGCCCACGTGACGCGGCGGCGCTCGGGAGCGGATCGGGTAGAGGGGAAGCGCCGACGGGCGGGAGTTGCCGTTCCTCGCTGTGCCGCCGCCGCCATGGGCCGGAGAGCCGCGCTGCCGCTGGCCGCCCTTTGCCTCGTTTCAGCGCTCTGCGGGCTGGCGGCTGGGAGCAGTTGGACGCAAACGCGTAGCGACGACGACGCCGCCGCGGCGGCCGTGGGTGAGTGCTCCGCGCCCTCTCCTCTCACCTCCCCTCCTCCCTCCCCCCCAGCCCTCCCGCCGACGGGGCAGCCCCTCCTTCCCTGCCCCCGCCGTCCCCTGGCGCGCCGCCCGGGCGGATCGGCCCGTTAGCGGGGTTGCGGCTGAGTCACGGCGGCGGCGGCGGCGGCTCCTCTCCGGGAACTCGGCTGGCTGGCCGGGCTGCGGGCGGTGCTGACGTCACCGGGACCGCGCTCCGTGTGCTCGGCGGGGACCGCCGGGTAGAGCGGAGGTCGCGGTCCCCGCGGTGCGGCGGGAGAGGGCGGTGTGAGCCCGAGCTGCGCGGCACGCAGCCTGCTGCTGCGGGGACCGAGGGTCGTCGCCTCGCCCGCTCCCGGGCTCGGAGTTCGCTGTTTTCCCTGCAGCTCGTTCAAGGAGCGAATAACTCAGCTGGCAGGGCGCTCTTGAAACCTTTAATTTAAAAAAAAATAAAATAAAAAAAAAGCCAGGCTCTGTCGATCCTTTAATTTAGAAAATGTGTTTCTCCCCCGTGTGAGTCTGGCTTGGAAGGGAAACTGAAAGCCCCAGCGCACGCGGTGCCAGCCGGCTGTGTCACATCGCCTCCCTACCCGTGAGGGCTTCCCAGGGGCCGGCTCTGTCGGAATGGGTGCTGCTGCCTCGCTGCCCGCTGCCAGAACTACGAGTGAATTTAATTATTTTATTCCCTGAAATCCGTTATTAAGGAATAGTCGTATCGCTGTTGAAGTGGTTCTAGTGCTATCTTTCTGAAGAGAGCAAGGCAAGGCTATTGCGTACCTCGCCGGTAGGAGTTGGCAGAGGTTTTTTTGTATCTGACTGCTCTCAGGAAATGGTAAGGAAATAGCACAAGCGTTTCTAGCCTGATCCTGCCGTATCCAACAAGGGCAGCTGTATCCAGGCACAATTCCAATTACCAGAATACTGAATTAGGGAGCTGGTGCATTTCTGGTTGTTATCTTGACTGCCAAAAATCTGTGATTAGCCAAATTCCCTTTGCTGGGGAGCAGGATGGAGAAAAGCAAAGGGTCACCCATCGGTTTGCAGAGCGGGTAGTATTACATTCAACGAGTTGGAAACTGCAGTGGTTTGGGGGTTGCTTTTTTCTTTTCTGAGTATGATGACTGTGACTAAGTCTTAATCAAAACTAATGTATTGAAATTGGAGATGGGGAACAGAGTTGATTTGATCCAGATACTGGCCGTGTTGACGTTGTGGTTTTAAGGCTACAGTGTTGGGCTGAGATTGACATAAAAACGCAGCTGGACTGGTCGGGTGGCTGGCTTCTGCTGTGATCAAAGCAGGGATAGTCTGACTTCTGCCTTCCTTTATATGCATTTGTGTATGACGTCCTTTAAGCTCTCGTCTTTATTTCCCTTCTGCTGCTTATTTTTTTAGTAGCCAGCTGTATTACTTAATGGAGAAACACAATCAAAAGGAACCAAGCTCCTCATCTGAGGTTTTAATAAATTTCTGTAGTGTAAATGCAGTGGGCTTTGGTAATTTCATTAGTTGCGTGTTTTTGTTGTTTGTCCAGATTCACTGTTGTTAGGTTACTTGAGACCTGATGTATATGTGAGGTCTGGTTTTGGGCTATCAGTAGCGCTGTGAGAGAAATAGAAATACTTTTAACAAGATACAAACTGTAACTCTTAGGAGCTGTTGGCTCCATGTGAAAGATTGTGCATTAAACCGGGAGATCTATAGGTGAGAATTTACACCTCTAAGAACTGTTTCCATGAGTTCGCTGCTCTTACAGGGATTGTTTTGTTCTAATCAGTGTATCTGTTTTTTTTTCTTTTTTTTCTCCAGACATCTGTGGGAATATTTCTACGTGTAGTTTGTGTATTGGTAATGAGACGCATGGAACAGGCTGCGAGTGGATCAGATGTAACGGTAAGGAGGACTGTGCAGTGCAGGTCCTGTAACCCAACTACATCTCATGTATTTGTGTTAACATTCGCTACTGTGAATAGATTGTTCTGTTTGATAACCTGATGGAGCAATAACTCATAACTTGCATCTGTTGCCGAGCAGATTTGAGGTTCTTAGGTGGAGACACCAGAAAATGGTGTCGGAATAATCCTAGATTTGTAAGGCTTCTGATTTAAGTCTGTACTGTTGATTAGCTAATGTTTTCTAGATGGTTCAGAATGTTAATAGAGCAAATTACCTGTATGTGCTTGCTCTGAAGGAGTTGAGTGGATTCTGAGAGGCAGGCTGCAGTCCTTTTGAGGTTATCACAGAATGAATCATAGAATGGCCTGTGTTGGGAAGAACCACAATGATCATCTAGTTTCAACTCCCCTGCTATGTGCAGGGTCACCAACCACCAGACCAGGCTGCCCAGAGCCACATCCAGCCTGGCCTTGAATGCCTCTAGGAATGGGGCATCCACAACCTCCTAGGGCATGCCATACACCTGATGACAGCCACTACTCTGGAACTGAAAAGGAATCCATTAAATGAGATTAGTCTTAACTAAGTAGTGTTCCTAAAACTATGAATTGCATCCCACTGAAAGGGGTGTGGTAGAGCCCCCAAAATGTAAAGCATTAGTTGGCTTCATTCAGAGCTTTCTTTTCCTTATTATAGGGAAGATGGGTATATATACATTTAGGTGACCTCTGGTACTCTCTTGATGAGTCAACAAAGCTGCTGTTGACAAAGTCACTTGAGGGCCACAGCTTCTCTGTGAGAAGGAGAATCATTCTTATTTTTTAAATGAGGTGGATATAGACAAAATGATTTGAGTAAAGAATGGTTTGACTGCAATAATAATGATGTAGATAGCTAGTATATGAAAGCCAAGCTAGTTCAGGACTGATGAAAAGAATTCTGGATGTTGCTTGTCCAGCAGAGGCATTTTTAAAGGAAGATGCTCTTAGAAATCCTACATCTGTTATCTGACCAGCAGGCAGCTCTCTCAGCTGTGTGAAGTAAATTCCTTTGAGGAAAGGATGAAATCTGAGGCAAGGGAGAGAGGCATGCAGGTGGCAAATAAGCAACTGATGTCAAGGATCTGTTGGAGAGCTGGAGCTACGTTTTTCACTGCATGTAGAATTCCTAAGACAGTAAGACTTTATACTGTTCCTGCAGATAGGAAATATTTATTTTACTGTCACAAATAGTAGAAAAAATGACTAACTTTATAGGCCTTAAAGGGAAAGTACCAAGCTATTCTGTTAGAGAAAAATAGTGTTTAACCAAGGAAGTATATTGCTTAAATGTGACAGACTAGCTGTAGTGAAAGAATATATTAACCTCTGTAATTTTTAATCATTAATATAATAGTGAAGTCGTATACGTGGAAGTGGTTTTAATGTTATCCTGACTAGAAGATGGTGTTTGGTTTATCCTGAGAACGATTTATTAGCAGTTAAGAACAAGCTCTAAATATTTTTTTCTAAATTCTGCTGGTTTAAATACTCGTTTTTACAGATTCACAGATGTGTGTAAATGGAACAACTTCTGAAGCACCTAAGAACTGTACAATTGAAAAACAATGTTCCTGTGAGTATTCAAACGCTATGGAAGTTAAATATCTGAAGTATAACAAGTCTCATTTGCACCTCCTTAATTTGTTGAACTTTAATGCCTTCTACAATTTACATATGATTGTACAGGTGTGTAAATAAGCCCTCTGCTTCCAGCTTAAACTTATGATATGGTATTAAAATGCACAATTTTATTGTTCACGCAGTAACTGCTGCTGCTTCAAGAAGCTTGATGTATTTGAGTAGACAAGTCTGTTTGCCTACTTACTGCCTTGGTTTCTTAGGCTGAAATTTCCTGTTAAGTATAGCCTTGCCTATTTGGAAGTACTTTAAAGATGTTAAGGAACTTCTCAATATCTTTAGGAGAATGAGTTTCGTTTTAAACAAAAACTGTTTCATGTGCTGAATCAGTGCTTCATCTGAGATGTAGTAAATGGGAGGAAAAAAAGTAGCAAACCTGCTTTGTTAACTTCAGAGCTTCATGCAGTCCTGAAATGTAGGGTCTGAGTTATAGAACCGCACATGGAACCTTCATGCTGGTCACGTGTTTAGTTTTTGTGCTTTTCACTAATTTGTGCTTTCTTTGCAAGGCAGATTTGTGATATATGAATGATTTAGATTAAATCTAGAACTTTGCTTTTGCGGAAGTTGCCTAATCTTTCTGGAAGCTGACAAGAAATAGATCTTAAAATAGAATTTTCTGGTTTTAAGACACGGGGCAGAAAATGAAAAATTTGCAGTGCTCTTGTCTGGATTAGCTCAAGAGTGCCGCTGGAAAAGGCTGGCTCACACCAATGGGGATGAAGCTTTCATGCTGCTTCTGGTGGTAGTGGCTGGTCAGAATGCTGCTGGGCTTGAACTTCTGTGTTGTTTCTAAAACTGTAACAACTGCTCCTTAATCAGTGGAAAATTCCAAAATACCAGTTTTTTCAGTGCTTTCCAAAAATAGCATGCTATTAAAATGTTTTGTTGTATACCTAAGAGTAGCATCTCTACCATCTGTTCATATTAAACCTTGTAGCGAGACTACTGGGGTGTTGCATTCAGTTTCTGCATATTCATGGCAATTTAACTGTAACCTTTAATAGAGAATCTTGCTTGGTATAAGAGGAACCTGTGTGCCTCATCAGCTCTCCATTATCCAGAGTAGCAGAAAACTAGTGTACCCTGAGTAGTGTGACTTGTATGGTACAGCCTGTATCATGTTACATCTGGCCTAGTTTTGTGCATGGGAGCTGGCAGTGAGCAGTGTTGCCATGGGAGCACTGGGTTGTAAGTGGGCAGGGTGATAGTACTGTGATAGTAGCATCACAAACCTTTGTCCAGTAGCTGTCTCCTGCCCAGCTTCTCTGCTGGCCTCTGCTCATATAGCCCAGTCAGGCTGGAGGAGCAATGGACCTGGACCAACTGTGACAATCCTTCTCTGTAAGGCAGCTAAAATCAGTTGGCTGTAATGTGGGTGGTTGGGGAAAGATGACAGCTCTGCTCACCAGTCTTCTCTCCACTCCCCAGCTGTGATTGATTCCTCCTGCTGAGTATTCCATTTTAACAGAAGAGTTAAATTAGAATCATAGAATGGCCTCTGTTAAAAAGGCCCACAGTGATCGCCTAGTTTCAACCCCCCTGCTATGAGCAGGATCACCAACCACTAAACCAGGCTACCCAGAGCCACATCCAGCCTGGCCTTGAATGCATCCAGGGATATGGGATTAGCGTTATCCACTGTTAATTGGATTTTTTTTATTATGAGACAGTGTCATGGTTCAGCACTAGATTTCAGATTTTTGGGGGTTGAAATAGAAAAACATTAAGGTAGACCTAAGCTGGCTTGATGCAAGTAGAATCAAAGGGAGTGCTTATTCTGGTGCATCCAAAGTGTGTCTGTAGAATCAGACTGCTCTGGTTTTCTACTGTGCAGAATTGCTTCAAGATGCTGAAAAAAATAAAATTAATGAATTCTAAAGGCTTCTGGACATAATGGTATTTTGGCAGGAAGTTCGCTGAGTCATGAGTGTTCACAGTGTTATCAAGCAGCAGGTTAGATGAGCTGTCCACGTGGGATTAGCTCAGATAATGCAGTAAATTGTAGAAAGTTCTTTACTAGGATTTTTACACCTATACTAGCAACAGCCCTCAGAATAGACAGCTTTAGTTAAACATCAGATTCTTGAGAATGTCCTAGTCATCACCCCCACCTCTGGATTCAGCTGTCTTACCACTCTGATTTCTAGTTGGCCTTAATAGTTCAGGTTCACTCACACCTCCAGTGAGGCAGGGAAGCAGTACTGATTACCTAGTTGGCTATTGCATAAAACCTATGCAGATTGCTCATGCATTAGGGCTGTTCTCCCTTTTGGTTTGCTTTGAAGAATCTTAGTTGATGTAGTCAACAGGAATGTTGTACACAGATTTGCACCATGAGGTTGAGCACTGAACTATCTGCCTGTGACAATTTTTTTTTCATCTATTCATTTCAAACAACTTGTGCTGTTAGTGTGGCGTTTGTAATTTCAGATCAGAACTGCAGAAGCATTCAGTGTTATATATGAGTCCCTAGAGCTCAGTCTACTACTATTCTCTAGTTAAAAGCTGTCCTTAATGTTTTTAACGCCACTTTTTATTCTTTCATAGCTCCTACATCTGTTCCTTTTTCTAATACTACTGAGCTGCCTTCCAATACTACAGCATCACCTTCCAATGCTACTACAGCGTCTTCCAATACCACATCTGGTTCTGTTACCACAGCTCATCCTACCACAGGTAATATGAAGAAACCTGACCTGGGGAGGCAATGAGTGAATGTGTGAGATTGCTTAGGGAACAGCTGAGTGAGCTTGAAAATGTAGTACCAGTGATAATGCACTATGCATTGCTAAGATTGCTTCTGTTGTCCTTTGTAGAATGGCAGTAAGCTAGGATTTAGTGAATGAAAAAGAGAAGAAGGGTTTGTTTTTTTTTCTGCAGATCGCTGTGGTAGCATGGCTGCTTAACATCTGAGGTATGAAATACACATAAATGATTCCAAGGCCTGGAGGAAGTGAACTATATAAACTGTAACAGTGAAAGTGTTTCCTTCCAATATTTTCTCAGTGGTAATTGAGTTACATTAGTCATTTCCACTAATAATGAATTTTTACAGATTGGCTTTTTGTTATTCAATCCAGAATCTTTTGTTCTCCACATGCTGCTGTCTTAACAGTGAAGTTTTAGAAAATCTTATTCTTGAAAGCATCTACTGCTTAAAGTAGCTGGGAGGTAACTAGAGTTGGTGCTTGAGGATGCTCACAACAGCTTACAGCATACAGTGTCAGCGTACAGTGAGGTGACATTTAGCTTTGAGCAAAAGAACAAATGCTGGCACTTATCCCAGGCACATAGTGGAATACTCATTAGTTGTCAGTAATACTAATCTTGTGGGGTGGGAAAGGTCAGAGACCTGTAATTCTATTTTGATAAACAAAGAATTGTTAGGAGACAGTCTAGCTACAGGTGAGTGTTCACACATTCCAATGATGTCATTGGTTGTTAATGAATTTTTGAGAAGTGTTCGGTATCCAGTATTTATCTCCTGGCTAGAGGTACTACATTTAAGTATTTAAGTAGAATAAACACTGTTTCTAAAGGCTAGTTATTGAAAATCCTTTGCCTTGATGCAGCTGTCTTGTTTCTTATTCACATACCAACATTTATTTTTTTTTAAAAAGTGATTTTTATTTAAGTGAAAAATCACTGATATGTGAAGAACCTTGAAATATTTGGATAACAACCATATGGTTAGGCTGTGAGCTTAAATAAATAAATCCTTCTTGCAGAAAACTGGCTTAATGCCATGCAGCTGAACATCTGAATTGTGTGGGGTACACTCTGAGATCAAAGCTTATTCTCTCTGAAGCAAAACAAGACAAATCATTTATGTAAGAACTTGCATATTTGCAAGCTTTGCTCTTGAAGCTTACTGTATGTGCACACTGTCTGAATTTAAGTTTTCTCTCAAACAGCTCCAAACATCACCAATACCACTACGCTTGCTCCTGTATCTACCACTCCCATTACTTCAGCTGCCAAAACAACCAGTGTTCCAGGTAATGGCTATTATTAGTATACTTGAAGCATAAACCACTCAGACATTTATGTTAATTAAGAAGTGTTATCTTGAAAGATGCATAGCTTTGTGCCTAAGTTAACTTTATTGGAGTGACGTAGCAAGGTAACAGCCTGTGCATCAAGTCTAGTTGATGAGACATTTAATGTCAGAAGCATGTTGGTCAGACTGTATAAACTGGCCCCTTCGTCATGGCATGACTGGAAGTTGCTTGTAAACTCAGCTGCAGGACTTATTTTGAAAGCTCTTCTTTTATCTTGCAGCATAATGATGGAATACCTTTATTTAATAAAAAAAAAAAAGACATCCAGTGACAGGAATAAGTAACTTGTAGTAATCTGTTCTAGCGTCTGCCCTGAATATGCTGTTTCATGAGAAGTTCTAATGAGGCAAAGCCCTGTAAAAGCAGGTGGCTGTTGTTTCTAGCTTCATATGTTGTGGCTTCAGTTGGCTTCTTTACTCCAGGAATTATGCTTACATAGATGATGAGAATTTAGGCACAAAATTGGAACAAGCAGGAAAGTCTGGAAAATATTATACTTCTATGGAAGGGAGGAAGACTTGCTCAGTACTGAGGTCCAAAGCAGTCTGGCAATAATGGCTAGTCTTTTTGCAAACATTACTTAATTAAATGACACTGCAAGTGCTGCTGCACTTGCCAGCAGCTGCATTTAGCCATACCTCTACTTTTATTTATGATTTTTGGATGTTTTGTCTGAGGAATCTCAAATACAAGGAAGCTACTGCTAAAATTGCTTAAACTGTAAGCCTTGTGAACTCTAACTGCTATGTGTTGTTTGGCAGGTACAAATGCTACTGTGACTCCTGCACCTTCTTCGCGCAAGTCTACGTTTGATGCTGCCAGTTTCATAGGTGGAATTGTCCTTGTTTTGGGTCTGCAAGCTGTTATTTTCTTTCTGTACAAATTCTGCAGGTCGAAAGACCGAAACTATCACACACTTTAGGACCTGTCACTTTATAATGGACTAGTAGCTCAATACCTGTAGTTCACTGAACCAAAATATTTTCTGTTGCTCATGGAAGACAGCAGTTCATAATACCCTTTAAATCTCTAAAAGAAGACTTGGAAAGAATATTTTTGCAACATTATACTTGGCAAGAGGTAATGTGAATCTCTCCAGCAGGTTTACTTGCAATATTCTGCATGGGTTCTAATGGCTGTCTTTTCTTTAGTGGCTGCTGCTGTGGGACTTTTTTTGATATGCCAAATGTAGATATTTGGAGATTCATATTCAGTGGCAACACTGTCTTGAGTAGACAATCTCATGACTTATTGTGAAGGCTAATTTAATCAACATCTGATAAAAGTATCCCTTCAGTTTTATCAAGAAGTGAATTATTGGTGACTGACTTGAGGGAGTGAAATACCATCTATACTAGCTTGTAACTCACACAGTGTGCTGCTAGAAAGGTGAGCAAAATTGTAGAAGTAGGTAATGTCTTAGTAGAATCAAAAAACCCATACAGATACTTTTTTTTTTTAACACAGGAAAAAAAAGATTGCTAGATAAAATACTGCATTCCAAACTGAAATCCTGCGTCATTTCCGACTAATGCTGAAGGTGGAGAGGATGTGTATGGGATAACTCTCATAAAGAGGAAATGAAAATTAGTGCCTTAAATGACTGAAAATTAGTAGGCTGCAAAAGTGTCCCACCTATCTCAAAGATAAGTCAAATATTTAGGTACTAGCTTTATATAGGAGAACAGAAACTTGAGTATGTGTGAGCATTCCAGTTTCAGAATCTTTACACTGAATAACTGGCCCTTATTGACTGTTTTTGAGGGTGAGGGAGCATGGTACAGTTACGTTCAGCTACAGGCTAGCTTTAAGTTGTTTACCTTTTTTGTTTTGACATGCAAAGGCCAACCATAAAACTGAAGTGATAGAGTTCAAAGTACTGTTCACTCCCTGTTTAAAAAGGCAACAATTTGTATTTATACTTGAACTAGTGTTTCGGGAAATCCTGACTTTTTTCTTGTTCTTAAGCTTACTTGTTAAAACTTCAATTCTTTTTAACCTTTGTGTGCATCTGCTTGCTGCAGGAGCTATTCAAAGTAATCAGAGGATCTGCTGATTTGATTTGAGTCAGGATTGCTGTCCTGGTACTGCCAGGACTGTTTCTTTTCCCCAGCCTCATTCCTGCTATCAGTTTTGTATGACCTTGCAGTGAACAGGTTAAGGAAATCTATTCAGCCAAATGCTATCTTTTTTTTTTTTTTTTTAACTTGGCTGGATCACCCCTGTGATCTGAGAATAAGCAAAGGTATGTCATTGCCAAAGTTTACACAAACACCTTCAAGAATAAGCCCACAGGAAAAACTGAAGTACAGATAAAATGAAGCAGTGGGTATAGCACATGATGGTAGCTTTTGATGATACCCCTTGATCATCAGAGTGATCTGTAATACTGTCTTACTAGCTCTGATCCAACTAGAATTTGGCACCAGTGCAACAAAAGGATAACATTAATGCAGGCAACCATCATGGTAGTGTAGCTTAGATATTGAACAGATTGTTTGCAAGTTACTGACGTGCACAATTGCTTTTTGGTGTTCTTCTAGTTCGAATGGCATTATACTGTGCTGCATATAAAAACTCAAATTACTAGAAAAATACAAAATTTATTCACAAGTACTGTATTTTCAAGTTCATGAGCTTGTGGTTTTCTAAATAAAACTAAGACAATCAGCTCAGGTTCTTTAAAACAGAAGTGAGCAGCCAGCTTCCAGCAACAGCGTGTGTGGGTTAGATGGTATAACCTTGGCCTTATTGTGAAATCATTTAATCTGCCCTTTCCCTATCTCAGAACTATTTTATTACATGTTTAAAAAGATATCCATGAGCTTGTATTCTGTGCTTTGAAGTGAGCAAAATACTCTCCTACAGCGTGACAATTCTCAGCTCAGCAAAGCAAACTGTATTTCTAGTACATATATCTATATATTTGGCCTCCAAGGGCTATCTTTTGGGAAAACTTGCAGAAAAATGCTACAGAACACTTCATAGCATGGAAGACTTTGCTGCAAAAGCATTGCTCTGTAAAAATGTTGTTAAAATGCTTATTCATGAGCTATGCTGATTCTGATTTAAGTTATAAAATATGTTGGTAAAACAAACTAAAATAATTTTTCAAGTGCCTTAAAATTGCTTAATCTTTATGCCTCAAATTTTATTTAAAAGGGTAGAATGAATACCTTGCCTTAGTTACTAAAGTTTTCTTGGTGCCAGCAATTGCTACTTTCCAATACTTTAGGAAACCCAGGGTTTTTGATGTGTACAGATGCCAGTCTCAAAAACTCAAGCTTGTACTGCATCAATTCAGTTGTGTACTGGAAGGCCTGCACTGCACGTTGGTTGCTCGTTAGCCTTGCCAACAAGGTGTAATCCACAATTGATAGAGTTGTGGCTTCAGCTTTTCTCGTTCAGTTGTCTGGGGGAGGGAAGGCTGGATTATACATCGTCACCATGTGCTTGGCTGTCTCACTATAAAAATGAATTGCTCCTTTGCGAAACTGCAGTATCAGCTAATCTGTGCTGTGTGCTAGCAAATAACCTGAAGTAATAACTTGCAGTTTTTTCTCGGGCCTTGTGTTTTGAAGTGGAAGGTAGCTCATAGATCTGTAGTTGCATTTGCCCCTGAATCGGTTTTAGGCACTGAACTGTAGTGACTCTTCAAGTTTCCTGGCTTTTTCTTGAAGCCAGTTGTGCAAATAGCAAGCTGTTATCTTATGAATGTTCTTTGCAAGTGTTGCTGTAAAAGTTTGTTTTGTCTTCAGTGGAAGAAAACTGAAACAGTTGTAATCACAAAACCAAATTGATAAATAAAATCTGTTGAATGGAATTTTACTTGTAAACTTTCTTTCATGTGAGCATGACTGTCTGCCAAGTTTCTGGAGATAAGAGCTGTTTTCTATGGCAGTTGAACACTGAGGAAAGCAGGGGAGTGAAAAGTTTGACAAGTTAATCTAGCTCTCTGAAATAGTTTTAAGTTAGCAAAATAGTTCTAAGTGTGCAAAATATAATTTCAGATTTAGAATGGTCTTCACAAAATATTTTCATTTTAGATCATGTTTTCTATGTTAGGTTAACCATTTCCTTGCCTTAAAGCCAAAGCACAGCCATGTGATTATTACTTGTTCCATTTGTGGCAACTTGAAAGTCTGATGCCTAATGGTCCACTTTCCCATAGCTATACCACTTGTTGGCCTGTAAGGTGAAGAGGGGCTGTGCTGTGTGGCACCAGGCAAGCTGTTAATAACGATCCTCTACATTGTAGCATTTGTTCATGTTAAGATCCCTAGTTTTCATAAAACAAAAGGCATTGCTCTGGACTTTCTCTCTTGATTACATACACAAAGACAAGTGTTTGCCAGGAAATAATTGTCAGAGTATGCTTGAAAAAGAGAACTGAGTGTGCAATTATGTAGTAACACTGAGTAACAGTAACAGCTCTGAGTGAACTAACCCCAGTAATTTCACACCATGATTTTGATGGTTTTGTGAGTTGTGAATGTGTCACAAGGGTACTACTAGCATAATTCAGTCTGTTGTGAGAAGTCTTCAAAAACTGAAGTACCTGTGCTTCTGGAAAAGATGTGTGGAAATGGAGTATACCTGGAGTTCCCCAACGGGTTTAAAAATATTATGCCTTCCAGACAATCATCCATTATGTCATGCAGTCGGGGACTGTATTACATTTTTGTTACAATGCAGCAATGAAAGCTTATGTGGGATTATTCTTCTGTATCGCAACTGACTTCTTACTGCTTTACTTGGAGGGAGCTCTTCTCTAGGCAGAGTGTTTGTTGAAAATGCATCTTTGAATCACCTTTAAATGTTGCTCTATTGAGTTCCAAAAGAAGTATTTTATCAAGATGCTGCAATTATCCTGTGACATCCCTTTCCTTCTTACCACTACAACAGTATGTAAGTGCTTCTTACTGGGCATAGTGTTCTACTTTCTAAATTGGCTTCTGGTTCTTGGGATGGGCTACAATCACATTTGATAGCTTCTTTAGTAATGTTTGACTGTAGATAGTTCTCAGTCCCCTTTTTATTCATTTAAGGCATGCTTTAGAAAGGACGTGTATTATTTGTAACTGCTTCCACAGCATTCTGATTGCTCTGTGACTTGTTCTAATGTAGCACTGGAGTGGCATGCTTGAATGAAATAAAAAGGCGCTCTTCAGTATTGGTGAAGGATGTCAGCCTTAATACTCAGACAGCATTCTAGGAATACTCTCTATATACTGCAAGGTTTGTAACAAAAGTTAGATTTTCATTAGTGTTTAAACCAATGCAGTGCTGTTAAGGGTTGCCAGAATTCTCATTCTAGGTCTTGGCTATTTAGAAATGAGTAATAAGATGTTACTCACATCCACAAGCATCCAACTTCTAGATTCTGAAAAGCACCTAGGTTTGTGTAGTAGCTCATCATGAAAAGTTGCAGTACGATTTGACGCATCCGTGAAAAACAAACAGCTCTGACTCCTTTATTGGCTAGTTTATAAAAGCAAGCATTTTTGACATGCAAGAGAAATGCAGATAATGATGCATTACCTATGCAGGTTTTTTTTTCTTTTTTAATTCTAGTAGTATGGCACTATGCAAGGAGCTGTTCTTCCCCTTTCTAGGGGGAAGAGGGAGAAGATTCTAGGGAAGGTAGAGATGCTGACATTTCTGATGATTCATTTTTAAACATTAAAGATTCACTGTAAGGCAGCAACCTCTGGGAGTAAAAGCAGTCAGCAGACAGGATGTGGTGTTTTAAGGGTTGCAATAGGCAAGCAGTTTAAAAAAAATACAAAACGCCTAACATCAACACTTTTGCTCTGAGAACTTAGCTATGCTTTGCATTACCACGTTCCAAGGTTACTGCAATAAAAGGAAGCCTTTTAGTTTTGACTGATATCCTCGCTGAGCTGCACTGTGAAGGTAGAACATGTAATGCTGCTCTTGCTCAGAAGGATGACCACTCAGTATCAGAAGCAGATCAGTGGATTAACTGACCAGAGCTGGTACAGATGCTGCATCTAAATATATGGCATTGAGTGCACCCTCAGCAAATTTGCAGATGACACCAAGCTGAGCAGTGCAGTCAATTCATTGGAAGGAGGGGAAGCCATCCAGAGGGACCTGGACAGGCTGAAGAAGCGGGTCCATGAAAAGTTAATGAGGTTCAATAAGCACTTGAGTCAGGGCAATCCCAGGTATTTATACAAACTGGGGGAAGATCTCCTTGAGAACAGCCCTGCGAAGAAGGATTTAGGGATCCTGGTGCATGAGAAGCTGGACATGAGCCAGTAGCGTGTGCTCACAGCCTGGAAGGCCAACTGTATTCTGGGCTGCATTAAAAAAAGGGGTGGCCAGCAGGGAGAGGGAGGTGATTGTCCCCCTCTACTCGGCTCTTGTGAGGCACCAGCTAGAGTACTGCATCCAGGCCTGGTGCTCCCAGTACAGGAAGGATGTGGAGCTCTTGGAGTGGGTCCAGAAGAGGGCCACTGTGATGATCAGAGGGATGGAGCACCTCTCCTATGAAAAAAGGTTGAGGAAACTGGGATTGTTTAGCTTGGAGAAGAGAAGGCTCTGGGGAGACCTTGTTGTGGCCTTCCAGTACTTGAAGGAAGCATATGAACAGGAGGGGGAATGGCTATTTAAGAGGGTGGATAGTGATAGGACAAGTGGGAATGGTTTTAACCTGAGACAGGAAGAGGTTTAGGTTAAATATTAGGAGGAAGTTTTTCACACAGAGGGTGGTGACACATTAGAACAGGTTGCCCAAGGAGGGGTTGCCCAAGAAGGTTGTGGATGCCCCATCCCTGGAGGCATTCAAGGCCAGGTTGCATGTGGCTCTGGGCAGCCTGGTCTGGTGGTTGGCCATTCTATGATATTGAAGTATACGCGCACAGCACTGGAGAGTTGCTGCCTCCCTTTGATTTGTGTATAAATCGTACTTCTCTTTAAGATTGCCAACTCGACAGTAATTTCTAAAATGCCCTGGGCTGACTAAAAATACATCTAGGTTTACTTCCAGACCAGCCTATGTTCCTGTAGCTGCGTGAAGACAGTAGGAAGAGTTTTTTCATTGAGGTGTGGCAACAGCCTATCTTCTGCACTCTGCTTCCATCTGCTAGGTACCTGAAAGCATAAGCAACACAGAAGTCACCAACCATGGTATAGTACTACATGCTGGGGGAAGTTTCCTGGAGTGCTGCCAGCTAAATGCTGCCACCCCCAAGTCCCTCCATTTTTCAACAGTATGAAAAATTAAGTGGAAATATTTTCCTTTTTGCTAGTCATACACAGTGGTCACCTTGTCTTTGAAGACAAGGGTTAAACCTGCCTGGGTATATATGCAAGCCACAGCTTGCAAAGTAGCAAATGAGTTACTTGTTTTGCAACCATATCAGACTGTTAACCACCAACATCAGTGATGCTTACTGTCTTTGGTCTTTGAGTGTTTCTTCTTTTTACGGTGCTGTTTCTTGGATCAGGATTCAAAGGCTCCTGCTTGTAATCCTCAAGCTGAGTGAATGCTGCAGTCTTGTTATTTTGAACCTGAGCTGCAGAACCTGGAGTGTTATTGACAATACAGTTAAAGTAGAATTTGAATTGAATAAATTCCAAGGCTGTTGTTTCTAATGTCTAGCAAAATGAAAAACACTCAGGCTAGTATTAACAATAGCATGCTTCTTAGTCTGGAAAAAGTGGTTTGTATATGATATTCACAGAACAAAAATTATTTGCAGTGTTTTTGTGTGTCAGCTCACCCGAAGCCCTTCTCTTTCATAGTAATGAGAGTATGAGCACTCCTACCCCCAGTAGGAGATGGGTTAGTGAAGCAGAAAATTCTTGCTGCCTCATCATGTGCATCTACTCTCCTTGCAACTCTGGCTTTTGTGGTATTGTTCAAAGCTAGGATGAAAAGATGCAGGAGTGGAATAGTTTATAATACGTTCCCTGGCAAATTCTCATCTTTATCCTTTTAGGCTTTTCAAAAGCAGAGGTGCCGCCACTTAATGCTACCCCTTCAGCCACTATAAGAAGAACCCTGAGTCAAATACTGTGGTTTCTGTTATGCCTAACATGAACTAACTCTGGCTGGTATCTGTGTACAGCTTGGGGTCTATACAGGCAGTTCCTAGAGGCGATTTGCCCCATTTAAACAAACAAAAAAAAAAACTTTGCCTTTTCAATCAAAAAGAGCCATTGCAAATGCTGTAGGACTGAGGAAGGTTAGTGTTACTCAATAGCAAAGGAATAGAACTGTATTACTCAGATTAACACAAAAGACAAATTTTTACATAGAAACCACATACATATATGTGTGTGTTAATTAGTGATACCTCCCTGTGCTTTATTTCTGCAGAATTGGTTCATATAGTGTCTTTAGCAGTGTGATAAGGAGCATTTCTCAGTTTTCTCAGACAGGAATAACTAACATCTTCCCTTCCTGCAGAAGGAAACAATAACTAAATTTGTGGTACTTTATATTCTTCGTAGCATAGAAATTCACTTTGAAAGCTTGTTGTTGTTTTTCTTATTTATTTATTTGGTGTGGAATTTAGGGATTGCCCATCTGCATGAATCTGTCAGACTGAAGGGCCAGTAGGATTTTGCTACCATGGAGAAAAGCAGCCAGTTCAGGCAGGTAGGAATAAAAATCCTTAATCACTGTTCTAAGGTACTTGAATTATGTAAGCACTGTAAAAAAACAAAACCAAAGAAGAAAAGAAACAGCAGAGAAGAACAATTTCTGGTAAAGCTTTGAGTTCCAAACTAAGTCAGTTAAGATCTGGAAAATTCTCACTGCTGTTTTGAGCTCCTCTAAAGATACTTAAAATCATAGTCATGCATCTCCTTGAATTACCAGTTTGGCTGCCCCTCATGATGTGTAAGCAAGCTGTTAGAAGACCAGGGCCACTAATGAAGCCAATTTCCTACCACTTGAGATCCTTGGTTTCCTAACTGCCTCCTCCCCTGAATGTAGCCCCACTCAGATTTCCCATGATATTCTTACAGTGCAAAAGATGACGTGAGCTGTGGTTGAAAGCTATTAATGTGGGACTCAGTGTTTCTTGTGCTGCTTGAGCAGCTGTAGTGAAAAAAGGCATGTGGCTTTTGAGTTCTGGCTTTTCCTCAAGATTAGGCCTTTCTCTTCCACCCATACACTTTAGTTATGGAGTAGGGCGTCTCTTTCATACTTGGCTGAAGTTGCCAATTGGTTCAAAGGTTAAGGAGGGATCCAGGAAGGTGGCACATAGCCCATAAGACTTACTGTCCCGAGAAAGCAGGTTGCAACACACAATCTGTCTTTACCTGCAGTCATGTTCCTCTGGGAAACTGCAGCTTCCAGGTCATAAACTTGACGTGGCAGTTCATCAATGTTCTGGAAGGCCTCCAGGTTTAAGCTGTACTCTCGGGTTAACTGGCTTCTTGTCTGAAAGGTGGTAAAAGGATTAATGGCAGCTACAAAGATTCATCATCTAACAACCCTAGTTCAAAGCAGGGGCCTACATTTAAAGGAAAGGATGTTGATGCCCTGTGAGCTCTTGTGAATGAGAGGCCATTGCTTCCATAATTACAGTTTTGCAAAACGTATCTGTGATCCCCTTGAAAGCATAATACAACAGAAACAGGGCAAATTGCCACTCTGGTTATTGTTTAATAGGAAGGCATTGCAGGAGGAAAGCAAAAACAATACAGAGGATTTCTCTTACTGTTCTCTGTGTGTAGCCCTCCCTCCAATTCCAGGGCAGAGGTTGTGAAAAAAAGCAAGTGCCTGTTTGCTCATCTCTCCTGCGAACTGCATAGTTTGATAACCAAATTTTAATATAGAGCTTGTTGGTGTTAATGATCATGTAGGTGCTGGCTGAGGCTGCTGTGTGGTAATAAAACCCTCCCTGCTGCACTGCTGTTGTCCTTTCATGCTCTCCTTGAAGCTAATCCAGCTATTGGCGCCTCTATTTTCTTCAAGGGTTATTTTGTAAGCACAGCAAAACAGTTCAGAGCCCCATCACGGACAGAAAACAAATCTGTGGCCTCATGTCCACAGCCACTGCTTTGGCAGAAGTCTTACTGCCATATGATTTTGCTCAGAGAACATGCCAGCAGCATGAGGAATTATTCCCAGCAGAATAGCGTTTGTCATTCTGACTCCTTCTGCAGGATGAACAGTCAGTGCTTTCACCTTGATGCCTCAGGAGACTGAAGACAGAGTGCACTTGCTTGGCTTGCAGGAGAGGCATTCAGGTACATTACTAAGTTTTTTCTCTCTAGATCAAGAACACGACGGCTAGCAGTCTTCAGTGGCTGCAGAGTTGTCAATGAGGAGATTGATTCCAGTAGTTAAAGTCTAATCAAGTGGTTTCCAAACTTTTGTTTTGCAGACTACACTACAAAAGAAACACTGCATTTTTCACAGCAAAAGGATCGCTCTACCAGTTGTGCTATCCCTACAGCTCTTTTTACAGGGGGATACTCTTTAAGTGGACCTTGTTACTCAATTATACTAAATTCAGGATTAACAGTGCAGTAACTAACTTAACTTAAAGGCAATATATCAGTTTGGTACCATGGTATGAGTTCAGTTAAGACTCGTGCCATTTCTGTGGCCAGACTGAGTTAAAGCTGTCTCGTTCCCCATATGTCCACTTGGTAGTTCAGAATTTGGGAAACACCAGTGTAATGTATGTGAAATGAAGAGGTAAGGGGGAAGGGAGGGGAAGTCCCCACCGAGGTTGCCAGGCTGGCTGGAGCCACAGAGCCTTGCCTCTTGGTGCTCCCCTAAGGGAGTCAACCCAGTTCTTGAGGACTGTGCACATATTCCCACTGCACCAGAACTTTACATGAACTCCCAAGTAGTTTATTTCTAAAATAACAGGAATAATAGTCACTTTCTAGGGCAAAGATACTGAGCCAAACTCAACAGCAAGGCCCTGAGAAGTACCAGAAGCACAAGATGGCACCTAAGAGTGGAGTATGATGCCAAGCATGGCAGCACCCAGCCCTGTGCCAAGGCTCCTAACTACTACTGTAACTACTACTAACTCCTACCTAACTACTGTAGGATTCAGGTCCAGAGCAGTGGGAGGGCTGCTCTGAAGTGCTGTGAAAGTCACACACTTGGCAGGATATGCTCAGATGTGCTGAGACAGTGTTGGAACTGGAGACATTGCTCCAGAAAGGTTAGTTTCTGTTCTTCGAATGTGTAGTTATAATTTACCTGCTGCATAGCTGTTTTGGCCCTTTTTTGTTGAAGTAGTCCTGTTTTACAAGGCTTTTCAGCTTCCTTCACTTGGCATTTCAGTTTCTGCTCTTTCTCTTCAAGCACCTTCTCTGTGTTTTGAGCTTTCACCACAGTGAGAATTTGCCTTTTCCTGGCTTCTTGTGTCTTCTGATGTTCCATTTCCAACAGTATTTGTTTCTACAACATGAGATCATGAAAGATTCAGACTTGGATTGCTTCCTCCAGTTCTCACACACAGCTTTTAGATTTTTTAATGGTATGACCAGTTCTTAAATGTCATCCCCAGCTGAGCTAAATAAGGAGAGACCCCGTCTCACATGGCTTGGTGTTGAAGAGTATGAAATGTTGTCGACAAATCTGAATTATTGTCAGATCTTATCAAAAGAGTAGAATCAGTCCTAAACCCAAAAGAAAATCTGTTTTTCAGGAACAGGGAGAGAAGAGAAGGGTAAGTGGGGGAGGGAATAGAGTAGTGTGCTGACAGTTTGTGAGATCATTGTGATCATTGCTTGTGAGAGAAAAGCCTTAAAACAATGTTCATGTTTAGAACTTGTTCAATTGCAAATAAACAAGAAGGCAGTTGGTTCCAATTTCCTCAGTTTGCTGTAATTTACTTTCTGAAAGCAGCCTCTGGTCTGCATGCAAGACTTGTCTTTAAAAGCAAAGCGTAAACAAGGGAAGGGAGGGGGGTGAAATGAGCACAGCTTTTTTGAACAATGCTGTTTATATACTGCATGCAGAGAAAGCCAGCAACTGTGGCTGTATTTTAGGATATTTCACAACAGAATGCAATGGTATGACAAACCCCAGCTATTAATTCAAGCCTTGCCATACAGCCAAGGGTTATGGAATGAAGTCTGTGATTCGTAAACATTTTCATCGCTATCTATACCGAGGAAAGAAAATTAGGAAGAAGAGAAAGAAGCAGAAGCTGAAATGTAAGAAAAACTGAAACCAACCACAAAAACTGCTGTTAAAAAGGTGGTAGATGAAGTGGATCCTTCCGAAGTAAACTGACAGCTTGTCAGTTCAGAAAACCAATTTACCATTCAAATGCAGCCCCATGCCAGTGACAAACCTGAATGCAAAGTCAGAACTCAAAGCATTCAGACCCCAAACATTTTTCACTGGAGATCTCTAAGCTGAACTAAGTCTGAAGGTTCACAGACCAATAAGTTCAGAACTGAGCATCAGATTTGACATTTTAGTATCACATGCCCAAATATTTACCTTAATTACCCTTCTACCAAAATGAGTGAGCTGGTTTGGCAAAACAGTATTTTCCAGAAAGGCATCCAACCTTGACTTGAAAGTGTTCAGACATATTATCATTTCTATGATTAATCACATTTTTAAAACATCATTGTTCATTTCCAATTTTCAGTCTGTCTGATATCAACTTCTAGGCACTGCCTCTCATTTACACCTTTCCCTAAGCACCCTTTAGCATCAGCTATTCTCTCCCTGCGAAAGTGTCTATAGAATGTAATCAAGTAATCCTCCTTTTAGACAGGCACAATATATAAATTCCTTTGCCATACTGTTTCCAGGAGCCCTCAAAAATCACTTTTTATAATCCTCTTCCACACCTTCTCAATCTTTTCTCATCTTTTTATAGTGCACCCTGGAACCAGAGGCAGTATTGAAATGTGCTGTACGTAGATACAAACCCGTTTTTAACCTATCTGTGCTATTCTGCTTTTTATAAATCAAAAGATTGCAGCATCCATCCTTTCCACTACTGCACTACATGGTCATTCATTTACCTGCTATGATCCCTGCCCTTTCCTGGGCTGCAGTCATCCTGCTCTGTAGAAATCTTGCTTTCCATCTCATTCTTCATCTAGTTACATACTACAATCCTTCTTGGAGGAATATTCAAATTACCAAGCTCTCTGTATGATTCTGTACACCTGCTTTGCCTACATCATTATTCACTAAATGTGAAGCAACAAATTCACTAACATTCCTCCTCAAATATGTCATTGGCAAACTTTATAATCCATAATTTTATATTTATTTCCACACCACTGACTAAAATCTCGAATACTGACAATTCTGCTACCAACTCTACTAGAAATCCATCAGAAGCCATTTTCATTTAATAAAAATAACACATTTCTAGACGTCAAAAAACCTAGCTCTTAATCCATTTTTATTGATACTACATAACATATTACAATTTAAAATACAGAAGGTGTACACTGCTAGCCCAACTGTTATAAGATTCTTCTAAATACATATTGTATCTCTTGCATTATGCTTACATATCTAGCTCGTAATCTTATCAGGAGAATGAAGTGAGGTTGGTTTGACAAGGCTTATTTTCCGTAGCTGGCTTGCCTGGTATTAATCAGGTTGCACGTGAGGGGTGTGCTTTTCAGTCTGTGAGAAATGAACTTTTCCCCATGCTTGTGGTAGCAGTGATATATCTATGAAGCTATTCAGATGACAAAAAAACATGAAATGATTTTTAATGACAGCATCACTGAACGTCTCCTTGAAATCTAATGATGGGGTGCAAGACTAAGAACCTTAAGATTTCTAACCTTTTTTTTTTCTTTTTGTGGAATAAAATACTGAGTGTCTTTTTCCTCTGCTAACATATATATCCAGCATTATTGACAGCATATGTGCAAATAGTGCCTGCAGCTCTCATTTTGGTGTAGGACTCAAACTTTTTTTAGAAATGCTACTGTTTTTCCCTAGTTCCACATGCAATGGTGGAAAGGCTCAAATGAACACGCTATTTCAGCGCTATAAAATACATACCTAGCTTCAGTAATTGTATTACACATTGAGTTTTGAATCTGTTTCTTTCCTAAAATAACCGTAGGGAAAATCCTCATTAAAGCAAGCAAGGTGGAGAGGAGAATTCGTTTGCTATGCTGATAAATCAGGACCCATTTAATTCAGATACCTGCTTATGCAGCTGTTCCTTTAGCTTGTTATTTTCTGCTTGAGATTTTTCAAGAGCTTTCCTTGCAGACGTGAGCTGACCCTGCAATGAAGTCACCTCTTGTTCTGCCATCATCTTTGCATTAAGACACTCTTTTTTGTTTTGAAGAGCTTCCTGCAAAGAGAAAGTACACGATGGGATCAGTTATAAGAGCAGTGATTTTCTCTTAGATTTCTTAAAAAGTAATCTCTAAGAGATTTTTAGTAAAGTAGTATTAAACTGTTCACATTTTCTTCTATCAAGGACTGATTTTTAGTAATAATCTTTCATACAACACTACTGCATGTCTTTACTTGGATTCACAACAATTCACAACAATTCAAGCTCTTGTGTGTAAAGAAGCTCAGAGCCCTCTCTGTTTTCCTGCCTGCAAGAGCCAGGTTCAGCAGCTTCTGCACTTGGAGCAGAGTACAAGTTCTTAGATCTGCAAGATCACTGCAGAATCAGACACAAGAAAGCTCTGTCTCAGTGAGATGAGCTACTTTATCATTTTAAAAAGACAAACTTCCCCATTTATTTTTCTCAGTTTCAGACTTTTCTTTTAAGTAGCTCTTATTTAAATCTACAAGTTTACAATAATTCAATCCATCTTTGACTGATCTACACTTAATATAAATTAATAAATCATTCTAACAATTCAGCATCACTGTGATATAGCTGAACTGAATGCATACACATCCAGCTTTATTTGACTTTAAAATTAACAAGCATAGAAAAGCCACTTTGCTTTCACTCTTTATAAGTTAGCAAATATGATCCTCTCTGCCCTCCCTTTATTTGACATGTGTGGCTAATTAACCTACATGGCAATCAATAACCTGTTTGTTCCATTCTAATCAGCCTCATTTAAAGCAGAGAGGCACTCTTCTCTCCATCCACCTTCACTTTAGTTTAATTCAGTCATTTTTGTGCTTCATCTCATACTTCTGTAATTAAATTTATAAAGCTTATGCTGTGCTCTGCTTTGTTTAAGCAGACACCAATTTCAAAAAGAAAAAAAAAACAAAAAACCCTCAGCATCTCAAAAAGCATTTGGCCTCATTCGTTTTCACTTCGTGTCTGCTTGTCTTCTTTTTTGACATGATTTCATCAGTTATGAAATAGCTTATTTTGATAAAGTGTCATAGTTACTCTTCTGAGTCAACAGCAGAATTAGGAATACTGTAGGCTGCTCACCCATCCTAGATTCTGTTGTGAAGAAGGCATCGGTGATTTGTTTCACGATCTTCACAGCTAAAGACCACCCTTACATCCACAACTTACAGGGGGAAAAAGAAATCAGCATTTATACCTAAAATCTTCAGTTACCACCACAGCATATAAGTTCACTGAATAACAAGTCTGACCAATCCGACTATTAACTTAGTAGACAATTTAACATGAAACACAGATGCAACAATAGGAAGCATAACCTTCTCAGCATATCTCAGCTTTGCAGAGAGCTGTGCTTTCTGAGTGGTGTGTTTCCAGCAGCTCAGAGTCCTCAGCTTGCACACCAGCTTGCTTAGGCTGATATTTTCATTCTGCAAGAGCTGCAGCTGCTCCTGCTAAAGAAGACATGGGTAAGCACAGACACCCACAAAGATCACGTTCTCCAATGAGTACACGTGGTTTTGAAGTAAATACAATTGTGAAAGCATGCGACTATCTGTATTTCATTTCAATTCTCAAGTGTTCAAACTTTGCTGTTTGAAACAATGCAGTCTTTGGCAATAAACTTCTATTACCGTGTCTCCAGGGAAACAGGAAATGTGAACATTGCCAGAAACTGAGGAACAAATGGAAGAAACATAATAATAATAATAAAAAAAAGCAGGTATGTCCCTCAGAAATGAAGCACTGTTAATGATGATAAACACTGTAATTAAGCCAGATTGAGATTCTGGTTCATGCAGTAGCAGTAGCCTGGTTCACCCTAACTACAGTGTACTCATTAAGAACAAAATTAGAGGATTCATGAGAAGTACAGTCATTGGGTTTTGTCTTCTTTGTTTAAAATAGCAGACTTCACTACACAAAAAAATATAGAAGCAAGGGTTGCAGAGGACCTCTGGAGGCCCAGGCCCCAGGACACCTGATTGAACCTCCTGCTGAAAGCAGGACTGTTGACAACACTAAGCCACATCCACTAAGGTCTTGTATAACCACATCCTGAAGAACTGCAAAGGTGGAGGTCTCACAGGCTCCCCATAGTGCTGCACCAGCCTCCTAATGAAGGAGGTTTCCTGCTGTCTGCCATGAACCTCTTTCACCACAGCCACAGTGGCTGCAGCCCCTTGTTTACCATCTGCCACTGCCAGGAGTTTGGCTCCAACATGCTTATGGTTTCCTGTAGCTGCAGTTTGCTTCAAGATCACCTCTTTCACGTGACCAAACCAGTTCAGCTCCCTTAACTTCTCCTTGGAGGCAATGTGCTCCACACTGTGTCACTGGTCAGTTTCTCAAACATCCCTCTCCTACCACTGGGCCCCTTCAAAGGGATGTGTGCCAAGTGCCCCCTCATCAATGCTGGGTAGAATAACAACACCCAGCTGTCTTCTGGCCACTCTCAATGTACCTGTACCAATGCTTTGGGCTGTACATCTTCTTTGTGGTTTTTCTTAAAAGGCTTTTGTAAATCCACTCCTCACATTTTTCAAGCTGTCTCTGCACTGAAGCTCTACCATCTAGTGTCCACTCACCTTCTTATCCTGTGTGTCTCATATTGGTCTTAGCAGCAGCTGGGCTTTGGCCTTCCTAATTTCATCACTATGGGTCTGAACTCTGAGATTTTGTCTTTGTTGCCTATTCATGCTTTCACTACTTGCCGTATCTCTTTTTGCATTTTAGTCCTTTAAGAAAATCCTTCCTATGTCAAGTAAGGCCAAGTTTCTGTTAATCTCCTTGTCCACCTGCATAACAGGGCAGCTGATTACAAAATCTTCACAGTTTTCTTTTAAAAATCAACCAGCTTTCCTGGTCACCTTTCTCCCTCATGGCAGTTTCCCAGCAGTTCTGCTTAGCAATCCCCCGAAAATGTCCCAGTCAGCACTCTTGAAGTTCCAAGTCCGTGTTATCCACCATAATTTTATAGTCTTCCTCCTGATCCTGAAATCATTTCATCTCTCATCTTATTTCAGTCACAGAATCACAGAATCACAGAATCGCAGAATCGTAGGGGTTGGAAGGGACCTCCAGAGATCATCGAGTCCAACCCCCCTGCCAAAGCAGGATCCCTACACCAGGTCGCACAGGTAGGCGTCCAGGCGGGTCTTGAATATCTCCAGAGAAGGGGACTCCACAACCTCCCTGGGCAGCCTGTTCCAGTGCTCCGTCACCCTCACCGTAAAGAAGTTCTTGCGCACATTGGTGCGGAACTTCCTATGCTCCAGCTTCTGGCCATTTCCCCTTGTCCTGTCTCTGCACACTGCTGAAAAGAGTCTGGCCTCGCCACTTTGCCCCCCACACCTTAGATATTTATAGACCTGGATCAGGTCCCCTCTCAGTCTTCTCTTCTCAAGGCTAAACAGACCCAGTTCACTTAGCCTTTCCTCATAGGGGAGATGCTCCAGGCCCTTCACCATCTTTGTGGCTCTCCGCTGGACTCTTTCCAAGATATCCCTGTCTTTTTTGTACTGGGGAGCCCAGAACTGGACACAGTACTCCAGATGAGGCCTTACCAGGGCAGAGTAGAGGGGGAGGATAACCTCCCTCGACCTGCTGGCCACGCTCCTTTTAATGCACCCCAGAATGCCATTGGCCTTTTTGGCCACAAGGGCACACTGCTGGCTCATGGCCAACCTGTCGTCCACCAGGACACCCAGGTCCCTCTCCACAGAGCTCCTCTCCAGCAGGTCATCCCCCAACCTGTACCGGTGCATGGAATTATTCCTCCCTAGGTGCAAGACTCTACACTTGCTTTTGTTAAACTTCATCTGGTTCCTTACTGCCCAGCTCTCCAGCCTGTCCAGGTCTCGCTGAATAGCAGCACAGCCTTCGGGCGTGTCAGCCAATCCTCCCAACTTCGTATCATCAGCAAACTTGCTGAGGGTGGCCACTACCCCCTCATCAAGGTCATTGATGAAGATGTTGAACAGGACCGGTCCCAGCACCGACCCCTGGGGAACACCGCTGGTTACAGGTCTCCAACCAGACTCTGCACCGCCAATGACAACCCTCTGTGCTCTGCCAGTCAGCCAGTTCTCAACCCACCTCACTGTCCACTCATCTATCCCGCACTTCCTCAGCTTCGTTATAAGGATGTCGTGGGAGACAGTGTCAAATGCCTTGCTGAAATCAAGGTAGACTACATCCACTGCTCTCCCCCCATCCACCCAGCCAGTGACAACATCATAGAAGGCTACCAGGTTGGTCAAGCACGACCTCCCCCTGGTGAACCCGTGCTGACTACTCCTGATAACCTCCTTTTCTTCCAGTTGTCTGGAGATGGCATCCAGCACAATCTGTTCCATCACCTTTCCAGGGACAGAGGTGAGGCTGACTGGCCTGTAATTACCTGGATCTTTCTTCTTGCCCTTTTTGAAGACCGGAGTGACATTGGCTATCCTCCAGTCTTCAGGCACCTCCCCCATTCTCCAAGACCTCTCCAAGACCTCTCCAAGACCAGTCACTGCATCCTCAGATTATACCTATACTTACCACCAGATCTTCTCCATTTGTGAGCAGCAGAAATATGGATTTACGCTGGCTAGCTCTTTAGCATTTGCATTTGCATTTAGAATATTATTACTAATGCAGTCTAGGAACTGGCTGTGCTTTTGCAATGCTTTGTACTACTTTCAGTAGACTTCCAGACGGATAAAACCTTCAGGAAGACCAAGGTCTCAAGTCAAAAATATTCTTCTTAGCTCTTGGTAGACAGGACAACCAATTTCTACTCTTGACAAGGCAGTCTGCAACAGATTCTCATCACAGTCACTAATCATCACCAGTATTCCTTCTTCCTCTAACCTTGACTTGTAGAATTTCAGTAGTACGTCTCCATACTCATACAAGACCTCAGTCCAGGGAATGAACTCCTTGTACAGAATGTAATTCTTGCCTGCTGATCCTTCTTAAAATGTCCTGTAGCCACCCATGCCCATGCTCTAGCTGTGTGCACCAACTCACCAAGTTTCTGTCACTCTGCCCACACCACAGATGTTTGTCTGCATGTGAGCTCCCAGCTCTCCTTGTTCACTGCTTCAGCACAAAATACTTTCCACCTGGGAATGTGGAAGTCGCCCTGCAGCCTTCTCAGACATGGACTTCTTCTATTTCCACTAGTTCCTCATTTACTTCTGAGAATCCCTATTCCCCAGGCTCAGACAGAGGTTTAAAGCTCTTCTCACTATGTTGGTATTACATTTATATCCTGCTTTACAAGCTTCTCTGCATAAAGAGATCTGCAGGCATATTTGCTTTAGACAGAAGTATTTAGCCATGATCCATTCGATCTAATTTGTATTCACTGACTGACTAACATAGTTTCAGTACAAATTGAACTTTGCTGAGAAGAGATATGTTTGACTCTAAAAGGGATTGATTTGGAAATTGTATCCGGGAAATTACTTTCCAGGCTTTAGTTTGTATCTCCCTGAATATCAGTTCTGGGGACACTTTCTCAAAACAAATTTGAATATATATTTGATTTTAAGTAACCCTTAATGGAAAAAAGGATTTTGTTCCCACTTTTTATGTGAACAGCTTGCACAATAGTCAGATCTATCAACACATTTATCTGGCTCGCTCTAACTTCCTTTCGTCTTTCCCCCATTCAAAACAGAGACGATGACAACAGACGACAAAAACAGTCTGACATATGATTGAATACGAGTTCACATTTATACTTGCACAGATCTAAGTTCAACCTCTGATTTTCATCTACATAGAAAGTATGGTGTTACAGTCAAAGCAGAGTTCCTATGTTTAAAACCAAATTCAATTCAAATACATGCAGATACTCAGGATCTAACTCCTGGGTGTAGCCTAAAATTTCTGTATTTGGAGTACAATACACAGTCAAAGATGACTGATTCATAACATCCCAACAAATTACTAGCCATTAACAGAGTCTAGTAATGGACCATGATGTCCGAGAGAGAATGCAGTAACTTAAGCCAGCCTAAACAAGTTCAGTAGAGACACTATCCTCGTGTTTGTTTACTGACAGGCATGTTAGTTTCCTTACTTTAGACAAGTGTTCTTCCAAGTCATCATTAGTTTCAGGGGAGCCAAACTTTTTCTTCAGATCAATCATATTGTCTGCTCCTTCCCTTCTCACTTCACTGATGATTTCAAGTACTCGTTGCTCAATGCTAAGTCGATAGATGTCCAACTTTCCCTGCAATTACAAACAGAACCCATTAGAGACTAAATGCGCACATATGGGAAAGCAATATTCAGAGGATTTCAGAAGTCTCTCAGCTACAACCAGATGGTCTTTCTTGATAATTATTTTCCTAGAATCAATGTATCTGAAAGACAGAGCAATACTCTTTTTACATCCAGACATTGCAAGGAGTGGAGTTTGAATTATATCATTAGTCACCTTATTGGCAAGCCTGGGAGGTAGGCATTCAATGGAAGCAGTTGCACTGTGGTGATAAAATAGACATTCTGGTGAGAAATTGACTAACCCTCAGTATTCCTCAAGTCAACAGGGAGACCACAGACACTGGTGGGCTTCTGGGCTATGAATCAAAACCCTGGGGATCTGATACAGGCAGGTGCTTGAAAATATGATGTTACAATCTGGCAGTTTCTACAGGCAAGAATGGGGTATCATTATTTTTGTAAGTAATGACATATGATACTGCTGCTAAGAAACTTGAACTACTTGTGGACTACCTTCAAAAACAAAGGCATCGTTAGAGTGAGCAATATTATTACATACTGGACATAAAGTTTTCAAGAAAAATAATGTAGAACATTACAAACTGAAGTATTATATCCAAAAAGTTCCTACCACGGTAACTAAGAAGAGCTTCCATCACTCTCTCTAATGTGGCACTTATTCCATTGAGACTATGCCTCTTATCTTGGAATAGGTACAAAATTTTTCTCACCAGACATTTTTACAAGATGTTTCTAAGGTATGCAGCAGGAGATAAATGATTCATCCACTCATCCACCTGGCACACCACAGCAATTTATTCCTTTGAGTGCTACACAAGTTGGCAAATTGTCAGCAGTGCAAAAAAGATTGGTGGTGTACCCCTCTTATTCTGTACCTACTTTTAGATGGACACACGTCCCAAATAGGTTCCGCACTAATGATTCATATTCATCCCGTACTTCTTTTCTAATCTTCTCTCTGAGACCAGCATTTTCATCCTCCAAGTCAGCGAGCTGGGCTCTGAGCGCAGTTATTTCCATAATCATCTCATGACTCAGCCTGGCAATCTATCACAGCAGAGAAAGTGAATGAGCAAAGCTAGAGATGAACAAATGCCATTGCCTAGGAGTAAACGATTCAGAGCTCTGAATGTGGTCTGTGGTACAGAATTAAGTATCAGAGTGACAATATCTTCCTGAGGGGCTAGGTGATAACCTATAACCCAGTGGGTGACTGAAACCCATTGATGCTGTGGAATAATCTATTATGTACATCTCTGTTGGTTTTAGAAGAATTTCGACCGTTCAAGACCAATATTTCAAGGGCACAAATGTCATTCATACATACAGTTTCATACATAACCTTACAAAGTCCATTTGTGGCAATCAGGAAAGAAAGATGTCCTTAATAGCAGGAGGAAATGTGAGTGCAGGAGAGAGGAGCAGGAACAGAGATTAGAGAGCAGGATTAGGGAGCAGGATTTGAGAATCTGATTTTGGGAGAAGCTTCTGTGCACAGCTCTCCTCTGCAAGTGAGCCTGACCTCCTGTAGCTAATATCCCCTGCCTCCAAAGGGAAAACCAGAAGAATTGTGACCAAGCTTCATTTGGTAATCTGTGAGGTAATGCACTTATCAGAGCAAATGTGCCGCCTGCTGATAAGCTTGTACATACAGACCATTTAATACGTGATAAAAACAATTATATGTTCTATTTGTTGATGTTTGACAATTAACAGACTCTCAGAAAGGGCACGCAGGTGAAAGCAAATAGGAAGGTGCATTGGAGAACTTAAATAGTTTTAAATGACAGAATTTGAATTTCACTTGTGTGGGTCATAGCTAGATATAAATACTTGTTCATTCCCATACCACTGAACTGCATTTACAATCAAATGAGCAGAGTGGAGGAAAGCTAAAAACATTCTTAGCGTATTACATTATTAAGATAACAAATAGGCACTGTAGCTACAGCCAACAGCACTGTCTGCTTTTAAGGCTGCCTGGCATCTCTGCATGCCAGATCTAAGTAATGAGTGCTAATAACTTCACTTTCTCACTGAAATGTTCTGTGTCAGTTTCTTTTTGACTTACAGCAAGCACAACATAGAGACGTCTGAAAATGAACGTTGGAGAAAACACATGTATTCTGACCCTGCTGAAAAATTCTGGTGATCTCTGTGCAGAGCACTGGTTTTCCTGTGTTAGTTTTTGGGTCTTTTTTTTTGTAAAATTGATGAAAAGTTCGTCAAATCCTGGGTTCATAGGGGAAAAAATGAAACGAAACAAAATTTTAAGAAGTCTCTACGTGGTTCCTTTCTGTTCCCTAGAAGTATTTTTAGCTTTGAAACAGTCTACCATTGCATTATGACTGATTATGGCTGACCCTTTCTCGTGATTTCTATCACCTCTACTGAGTATCTGAACGTGTTCTTTCTGGCAGTGGCCCTTAATTGCTGTAGGCCTGTGAGAAAGCAACGGTTGCTGGGAGCAGGACATCTCTTCTGAGGTTGAAGCACAATCCAGAAACAGTAGAAGCTGCCCAGGGTGGCCAGTGACAAGGGATGAGCTGTCTTGTCCTCAAAGGAAGTGGCAGATGAGAGAGGGATTTGGTAGTGATGGGCTCCCAAAGTGGAGGGGAGAATAGACTCTAGTGTCCACAGGCTCCTGGAAAGTCCTAATGACTTCCCATATCTTTCCACTCAACTCAAATCTCACACATTTCTCATCTTTTCTCTCACCTCAGCCTCCCCAGACATGCAGACAGGACAACAAAATCAGGGAAGAAGAAGGGTTGCTGACAAAATGCTTTAAAGAGAAGGATATGAGGGCAAAAAAAACAATACTGGAAAGAGAATGAGAAAGGGGGTCAAGGAATGAATAAGAAGCCCAGAGAAGAAGAAATGAAATCTTCTAGTCAGCAATGAGGACAAATGAGAAAATGAACCCAGGAATCCAAAGTGCGCATTGCTGGGCAAGAGTCCCTGACACCCAGGCAGTCTTCACCATACTGTACGAGACTGTGTTGATGGAGCCAAGCTTCCAGCTTAGTTAATACATTATATGGGTATTACATGATGCCACAACATGGCAATTCTGATTTATTGGCTGGATTTACTTCTTAAAAATTCCACCCACATATACCATGTACTAAAAATCCACAACTGATGCCGCAAAGTCAACTTGAGAGCAGTTGAATATGGAACCACAGTGCAGCATACCTGCCACCTACACTGCAGTATAGCCTACATGCCTGACACACTTCTATTCCTATCTCACTCACTGCATATGATTGAATTGCACCAGGAAAATGCCTCGTTTAGGAAGAGAGGCTCATCAGTGGAAGTTTAAGTTAAAAGGCTACCAGCATATCATCCCTTTTGGATATAAAGCGGAGAACAGCAGGCTATTGCTACCCTTGCCTTCAGGTCATCTTTATTTCACAGGTCCTTCTGGCATGACTTCTGCCACTGAACACAGAAACAGTGGCTCCAGGGCCCTCTTACCTTTCTTCTCAAAGATTGTCACCGTGTCTTCATACAATGATACTCTGTCCCAAATGGGATCACCAAGTACTAGCTATCAACAGACCATAATCACCTACCTGTGTCAGAGACATATCATGTTGGTTGCCACCATCTTCCACATCATGCAGCTCCTGAAATGATGAAAAGAGAGGCACAATGAGTATGTCTGTACAACAGCACAATTCTGCTTCAGCAAATTCCCAGCCTGACAGCTTGACTTCCATTTTTACTTAGCAACTACTTCCCACCCAGAGAAACCTCCTTCTCCATTTCTGAAAAGAGAAAAACCAATGCTCTGAGCATACTTGCTCTTTTTGGTAAAGTAGATGGTGCAGCTGCTGGAGAATATTTTCATAAAACATGGAGTAGGTCTCAAAGTTGCTGCGTTCTCTGGCCATGATGTCACAGCCCAGCACAGTAAGACACTGCTGTAAATGGTTTTTTTTAAAAGTAACCTAGGAAAACAATACAGGAAATCTTACAGGTTGCCTGAATCACAAGTTTCCATATACAGCATATGTCAAAATGAAATATGGTCACTTATTCTAAATTAAATACTTCTGTAATACTTCTAAAGTAAATACTTCTAAATTAAATTAAATACTTCTGTGATATCAAAATGAAGCAAAAAACATAATTATTCAATGTAGATGTTTTTACTCAATCTACAGCTTCACTGATTTATTTGGAAAACAAATGGGTCAGGTTTTTGACTGGTTCTACCTATAACTGTATAATGTATTTAATTTCCACCTGAAGCTAAAAGAGAATTTTCAGTAGAAAAATGAATTTACCAGCTCAAGTGCCCATCATCCCTTCTCTCAAAAAACCCCATGCATTGTGATTTTTAACCAGGAATGGTCATATTGTCATAAACATTTTCTTTACATTTCACTGAAAAAAACCCTAAAACTGCCTCCCAACATCTCACTGGGACCCGTGATTTAGCACTGACCAGGGAAGAGGAGTTTTGGTTGCTGAATCCTTGCATAAAGATCTGCAATCCTGCACTGTGGTTGCATATCAACCTCCAGCCCTAACTCATCCTCACATTATTACAGTCCTGAGATCTGAAATAAAGCTGTCACAAGGCAGCAGGGCAGTACATGAGCTCGCTGCCAACACTGCTATTACAAAACAACATAATCAGAATAATCAAAAGCTTAAGAAATGTGTTTCTCTTTTAGGTCACTGATTGACAAGAGCTTTAATAAACAAAGCTCTAAACATAATTTAATTGTTACTCAGTAAATGCAGAGTATGTACCTCTGTATCTGATCCTTCATAGTTTTCCATCAGCCTTTGAACAAATGTTTCAACTATCTGTGGTCGTACAACAGAGAAATTTTCTTGCATTACTTTGTGTTTCCAGAGCTCTGCAGGAATAGAAGGAGGAAAAAAAAAGACAAAAGAACAGCACATCAGTGGGTATCACTGTCACAAAATATTGATCCTTCAGTAATCCCTGGGATTTGATGCTGGGTACACTGTACAGCTTAGGTTTTCTCAGCTTTGCTAAAATGTTTACAACTAAAAGTAAATGTCATTGCAAACAGATTGCAGAAACTGTGCTGAGCTGCACTATCAAATTTGTTCTGGTATCAAAGCCAAAATGCTAGTTCATTATGGACCAGTTCTGTCAACAATGACCTGGCCCACAGCTCTGCCTAGGAGTTTTCTGTAAATACTGAGAAAAGAACGTGGCTTTTGTATGAAACTGAACATTTCTGAACAATAATTATGGCTGCCTGCAACCTCAACCAGTAGCAGGGCATAATTTTTGTCCCTTTTATTTCCACTTTTTCTTTGTTTTACTATACTTGCCTGTGAATACCCATGATATAAGTACAAAACAAACTCGTAACACACTAAAAGTCTGGCATTTAAATTGAACTGCTACGCCTAAAATATCAACACTATTAAAGAGAAAGGGAGAAGTAATGTCTTGTCTGTTTCAAACTGCCTGCAAACTCAAGGATAGTTAGTGTTCAGTGCTTTTTTGCAACACTGTCTTTGTAAAGATTATGGTTGAACCTTCATGTTATAATGAGGAAGTGAAATCTTCTGTTCAAGGAATCTAAATCTGACACCATTTTCCATCAATTACACCATCCTCAACTGGTCACTGGCCTCTGCATGGGGATGCAGGGAGCTGAGACCCTCTCCTATCCATACACAGGAAAACTTTGCTTCATTATGCACCAAGGTTGCTTTTCCACTCCAAGTCTGTGGTCCCCATGTTTCCCAGCAAGGGTGTTTTAACTCTTCTTACCAGTAGGGAGGCTGCTCTCTTGTCTGGCTCTTTCAGATATCACTAGAGTCATCTCCTGCTTAATCTTCTTCTGCACATCATAGATCATGTGGATTTCTAGGCTTTCCAGAAGCTTTTGAAGCTGGAATAAGGTTTCATAGAATACAGAATTATTAAAGTTGGAAAAGACCACTAAGATCATCTAGTCCAACGGCCAACCCATCCCCACCATGCCTACTGACCATGACCCTCAATGTCACATCTACATCTC